AAAATGGGTTCCATATAGTGCTATTTAGTGCTTCACTAAGTCTAAATTACAATCATGTTCCTCATTTTCTATTTTATATAACATTTAGTAATTCCCATAATTGAAAATTAAACTCAAAAATTTTATTTTATTCGTCTTAACCATTTATTAAATATCAATTTCCTTAATTGTGAATAATTAGTTTTGGTCTATTTAAAATGATATCTTCTATTTGTAAAAAAAATTGAAGTTTGAAAGACGTACCCCACGTACCCGTGTCTGAAATTTGGACTCATTTTAGCTATGTCCCCGTATCCTACATTTTAGAATATAAAATATTCGACACTTAGATACGTACTTGTACCAGATACCCGTACCCGAGTTTGAGCATCATAGGTATAAATTTAGTTTTATACTTATTATAAATTTTTCTTATTGAAATATTTTAAATATGAGTATCTATTTGTTATTTACTAATAATTTCGAGTTAAAAATGTATAATATTTCTAATATAATAAAAAAAAGAAAATGATTACGGTAGAGTATCCGAGGAATGTCGGTATTGACACTAACAAGTTATTCTAATTGAAATGTCCGTGCAACAGAGCATGAAACTCTTGCATGTATTCACAGCTGGATTTTATTACCTATTTGTTATTTACTAATAACTTTAAGTTAAAAATGTATTATTTCTGATAAAAAATGAAAAATGATTATGGTAGAGTGTCAAAGGAATGTCGGTATTGACACAGACATGTTACTTTAATTGAAATGTCGGTGCAACAGAGCATGAAACTCTTGCATGTTTTCACAGCTGGATTTTATGTTTGCTTATGATGATAACTCTCTCATAAGATGCTGCTAATTTGAATTTACTGTACAGACTAATCTATGGTGTTTGTATTTTGACCTTTCAATTTCTCTGATTAACGTGCATAGTCCTGTTACCGAGCTTGATTCTTATATATGGACTCTGCTTTTGTTCACTGGACGACTGAAGTTTCTAGCATGAGCTTAGCAGCTCGATTTTTTTTTTTCCTTTTTTTTTCTTTGATCTGAATAATGTTTCTCTGGATGTTGCTGAATATATGACAGGCTGTTCTACAGCTGCATATAAAAGATGGGAGAAAGCAGCGATTGCCGGGGTTTCGTTGGTGGCTGATGCTGCTGAACATTTGGAGCGGACAATCACCGAGAAAGAGGTTGAACGTGTCCATGAAGCACCAGGTGAATGGTTAAGATTTGTTTTCTAAAGTTTGTTGGGGCAGGACTAATGGTGGCGAATTTTTGGAAATTAATTCACTCATGATGCACTACTTGTCAACTTTTCAGCTTGTGGTAATTCTCAACGTGTTGGAGAAGTGGAGCTCTCTTTGCCAATGCCATCACGAAGTCGTTTCAACAAATGCAATGCACAAAACTCTATGAAACTTAAGCTCCAGCTGTTCCCAATTGATGACTGCACTAGGAAATCCTTGGAAGCGGTACGTCGAGCCTGGGTTTGTTTTTTGCTGCTGTTGCGATATTTAGAAGCTATTTAGTGTTTAATTTTATAATAATGAAGGAAATTCAGATTTTTATTTGTTATTGCAG